AAGAGAAGGCATTGGGGTGGAAGAGAAGTCACCCCATGGTGCTATTTCACCCATAAAATTTTAGTTCTCTTGGTGTAATTCAAGATAATTTTCTTTAAATCAACACTGCACTGCATTATATATAGTCAATATGTAAAATAAATTTCAAAATGACCAATAATTTGCTTGCAAACACAGAAAAAAGCATTTAGGTTAAGAGAGTCTCAAGCAAGATGTTACCTCCACTGAAAAGATAGAGAGGCTGGCGCCTGTTTGCTGTGTTGCCAGGCTGGATGGCAAGCATGAAACTAGTTTCCTTACCTTCAATTATGTTCAATAATTGTTAAAATGACAAAAAAATTTAGTAAAACTTTTAAAATTACTGAATAGTATAAACTTCTTGATATTTACTAAAATAGTAAGGAATTTAAGCCCTAAAACCGATTACTGTATTGGCGGACTAATACAGTACTACAGCTGGTGGACCGCCAAACGCAAGCAAAAACATGTTGAGGTCGGCTCTTAAAAAACTGGTTAATCGAGGGATTGCTCGTTAACCGAAGTTAAGAATCTTATAGAAAGTAACTCGTTAACCGAAATCTCGTTAACCAAGGCGCTCGTTAACCAAGGGATCACTGTATATATTACTTTCCACACTTGACTTACACCAATGTACCCCATTATCCACCCCACATAAATATGGGAGAGGTTTCTGTACCCCATAATCCACCCCACATAAATATGGGAGAGGTTTCTGTACCCCATAATCCACCCCACATAAATATGGGAGAGGTTTCTGTACCCCATAATCCACCCCACATAAATATGGGAGAGGTTTCTGTACCCCATAATCCACCCCACATAAATATGGGAGAGGTTTCTGTACCCCATAATCCACCCCACATAAATATGGGAGAGGTTTCTGTACCCCTTAATCCACCTCACATAAATATGTTAGATAAATAAAGATGACAGACAGATAAATATTACTCTCATACATATAAGTCAATCTTAATGGAACTATTTTTCATCCTAATATTTTCATGTGAATAATAAAACATTATAACAAACATTTTATTAACAATAATGATATAAAAATACATTAACCTTTGAACAATTTATATTAATTAGATATATATTAAATGACAGCATCTTATAATTCTTCCATAGTGAGCAGCCAAGTAGTGTATATATTAGATCATTTAATGTTTTTATTAAAGATAATATTACATATATTATGTGTAGACCACCACAAGATAATGACCCACAAACCCTGCCTGGCCACAACACTGAACCTGTGTCTTATGGGTTTGTAGCTGACAGCACTAACAAGTAACCCATAAGGCCTACTACAGTTGTCAGTGCATGTCAAGTGTTCACGGGGACCAGTGCTGGAAGACAAAGGATAGTCACCAACTCCTGCTTTCTATACTTGGTACAATTATTATTTACAAGGTAGATTCACAGGATAGATCCACACAGTCCTGTGCTCAACTGAGTTGTGTGAAGCAGCGAGACACACAGGTCTGGTCTACAGTGAGTCCTCCCGGTTCTCTCTACCTTCATTCCCTCCTCAACTCTCCCACCAAGCATTGTGGGTAATAACATCACAGTTACATTAATTCACAAATTATTAATGAGACAATTAAAACAAGTTACAATAAAAGACAATTAAGTAGATACCTCAAACTACTTCAATTAACATTAACATACAAGTTAATAATTGGAGTAACATCACAAGACCCCAAGTTTGGAACACCTTGTACAAGAAGCCAACTTCACACCCAACCACCATTATATACAGTGGGGTATACTATAACGAACGGATCCTACTACGAATATTCCTATAACGAACGGTTTTACCTATAAAATTGAGAATGCTATAACGAACGCAACTCCTACAACGAACGCGGATGAATACGGGACTATTTCGCCTGGCGCATGAATATTTTTGTACCGCGACCCACAACAAGAGCGTCAGGCGCCATCTTTGTCTCATTGTGTAGCCAGTGCACCACTGTTATTGTTGAAATTTCGTCTTTTGATGTGGAAATAGAGTTATTTGTATAAATATTTTGTTATACAAGTGTACAATTGTGACAATGAATCGTCCAAAGCGAGTGAGAAAGCTTATAACTCTTGAAACTAAGAAAGAAATCATAAAGAAACGTGAGGATGGAACAAGCATTGCGAAACTTAGTGATGAGTATGGGATGGCTGAATCGACTATATGTACGATTTTAAAGAATAAAGAGGAGTTGAAAACAGTGCAAGTGGCTAAGGGAATCTCTAGACTTAGCAAAGCAAGGTGTTATGTGATTGAGGAGATGGAAAATTTACTCTTAGTGTGGATAAAGGAGAAAGAAATGGCAGGTGATAGCATTAGTGAAGCTATAATATGTGAGAAGGCCAGACAATTGTTTGAGGACCTTAAAGCCAAGACTCCCAGTGCAAGTGATAGTGCTGTGCCAGTGTTTAGGGGTACCAAGGGGTGGTTTATTGGTTTCAGAAGGAGAAATAAAATACATAGTGTTGTGAGACATGGTAATGCTGCTAGTGCAGATAAGGAAGCAGCTAAGGAACACCATGACATTTTTTTTAATATTATTAAAGAGGGAGGCTTTGTTTCTCAGCGGGTATTCAAATGTGATGAAACTGGACTTTTGGGGGAAAAAATGCCTCGCCGTACATACATTACCAAGGAGGAAACTTCTGTCTCTGGCCATAAGCCAATGAAAGACAGGCTTACCCTCCTTCTTTGTGCTAATGCTTCTGGTGACTGCAAAATAAAGCCACTCCTTGTGTACCATGCAGAAAACCCCAGAGCTTTCAAAAAAATTAGGAAGACCCGCCTTGGTGTTATGTGGCGGTCAAACCCAAAGGCTTGAGTGACCAGGAATTTATTCTGTGAGTGGGTGATTGAGGTGTTTGGACCCAGTGTTCGGGAATACCTCAGGGAGAATAATCTTCCACTGAAAGCTTTGTTGGTGATGGACAATGCATCAGCCCACCCTCCTAATTTGATGGTTGAATTGCCAGAGGAGTTCAACTTCATCACTATGCACTTCTTGCCACCCAACACAACACCTCTCATTCAGCCCATGGATCAACAGGTAATTTCTGACTTTAAGAAGCTGTACACAAAGGCAATGTTTAGAAAATGTTTTGCATCCACTTCTTCCAGTGATGTTAGTTTGAAGGAATTTTGGAAGAGTCACTTCAATATAGCAGACCCTGTGTTTTTAATTACCTCAGCCTGGAAAGAGGTTACTGTGAGGTGTCTTTGTGCTGCTTGGAGGCCATTGTGGCCTGAATGTGTCCTTCAAAGAGACTTTGAAGGCTTCGAAGAGTTAGAAGAAGAGGCTGTTGTTCATGAAATTGTGTCTCTGGGCAATTCCATGGGCCTGGAAGTGGATGATGATGATGTTGAGGAGTTGGTGGAAGAGCACAGTAAGGAACTGTCCACTGAGGAGCTGCTTGAGCTTCACAAAAAGGAAAATGAGACACTGAAGTGGAGCTTAACTTCTGAGGAGTCAGGGGAGGAGGAGGACAAGGAAGAAAGCCGCATCATTCCAGCCAAAGATCTCAAGGATGCGTTCTTTTGCTGGAGCAAACTGTCCAAACTTGCTGAGGATTATCATCCTGATGTTGGTTCTGTGCAAAAGGCCATCAGTGTGTTTAATGACAATGTTATGAACTACTTTTGGAAGGTCCAGAAATCAAGGTTGAAGCAGCCAACCCTGGATTCCTTCTTTACAAAGGTAACAAAAGAACCTACAGACAAAGTGCCTGTGAGACAGTCACCAAAGAGGGCTAGGAAGGATGACTCCTCTCCTTCCACCTCTTCTCCATAATTCTCTCCTCCCCCCTCCCCCTCTGCCTTCTGTCCTGCATGCTGAACAATACTAAGCTAAGATAAAGTACCGTATTTTTTACATTTTCCACATAATTTTTTCAGTGTTAAGTGGTTGTATTTGGGGGCCTGGAACGGATTAATCCTATTACGAACGAATGCTATAACGAACGAGGTTCTGGAACCAATTACATTCGTTATAGCATACCCCACTGTATTATATACAACAACTCACTATATACAACAAATTACACAGATTAGCATAACATGAATGTATGTTATACATTACCATAAGAACATACATTATATATTACACAGAGCCCTTGGGATGTACCTAGTAGCATCTGAGAGTACAGTACATCAAAGTTGGTAATGTACAGTACATGTTAGTACATCACAGTTGGTAATGTACAATACATGTTAGTACATCACAGTTGGTAATGTACAGTACATGTTAGTACATCACAGTTGGTAATGTACAGTACATGTTAGTACATCACAGTTGGTAATGTACAGCACATGTTAGAACATCACAGTTGGTAATGTACAGTACATGTTAGTACATCACAGTTGGTAATGTACAGTACATGTTAGTACATCACTGTTGGTAATGTACAGTACATGTTAGTACATCACAGTTGGTAATGTACAGTACATGTTAGTACAATACACAGGTGACAACAGGACATGACTCAGTCAACAACATCACCTGACTTGACCAAGCCAAATCAACATGGCTGGGTCTACATGCGACCATTACATGTTAACAACATTATTGTACAAGTTCTACTAGACTCATAGGATACCCCTCAACTAACACATGTTTATTTTTCGAACATATTCTATCATGTCATGGTAAAGTACTAAGGCCATGGTGGAAGAAATTTACATCTTAAGAGCAGATAATTATAACTTGTGTTTAATATCTATAAAAGTGGCATTTGTCACTTGTCTTTATTTCTGCTACATTCATAGAGTTTGTTCAAGTGGTTTTATATTGATGTATATCACTGTATTCAAGTTTATGTGTCACATTTACCTTCTGTTAAAGTCATTCAAACATTTATTGAATTCTGGTTTTTATTTTTTATGCACAAGTTTATGATGTTTGAGATTACTCTTTCAGGAGAAACATTTCCCACATTCCTCACATTCAAACCCTTATATATCACTGTGTCCAAGAATGTGCCTCTTGAGATGACCCTTTTGTGCAAAATGTTTCCCACATTCCTCACATTTAAACTTTTTTATACCACTGTGTCCAAGAATGTGTGTCTTGAGAGTACTCTTTTGTGCAAAATGTTTCCCACATTCCTCACATTTAAATTTTTTTATACCACTGTGTCCTAGAATGTGTGTCTTGAGATGACTCTTTTGTGCAAAATGTTTCCCACATTCCTCACATTTAAACTTTTTTATACCACTGTGTCCAAGAATGTGCGTCTTGAGAGTGCTCTTTTGTGCAAAATGTTTCCCACATTCCTCACATTTAAACTTTTTTATACCAATGTGTCCAAGAATGTGTGCCTTGAGAGCATTCTTTAGTGCAAAAAGTTTCCCACATTCCTCACATTCAAACTCCTTTATACCACTGTGTCCATGAATGTGTGATTTGAGAGTACTCTTTTGTGCAAAAAGTTTCCCACATTCCTCACATTTAAACTTTTTTATACCACTGTGTCCAAGAATGTGTGTCTTGAGATGACTCTTATGTGCAAAATAATTCCCACATTCCTCACATTTAAACTTTTTTATTCCACTGTGTCCAAGAATGTGTCTCTTCAGAGTACTCTTCCTTGTAAAATATTTCCCACATTCCTCACATTCAAAATCCCTCTTACCACTGTGTCCAAGTAAATGTGTCTTGAGATAACTCTTATGTGCAAAATGTTTCCCACATTCCTCACATTCAAACTCCTTTATACCACTGTGTCCAAGAATGTGTTTCTTGAGATTACTCTTAGATGACATTTTTTTCCCACATTCCTCACATTCAAACTCCTTCATACCATTGTGTACAAGTAAATGTGTCTGAAGAGTAGACTTTAAGCAAAACCGTTTGCCACATTCCTCACAGGAGAACTTTTTATCTCTGCTTGACATTGTGAATTTCTACTTAGTTACACTTGGTCTTGAGATGTGACATCACAGTATCTGAAACAAAATATTTTGCCTTAGATAATATTCTTATGAAAGGTAGTTTTATAATTGAAAACTAGAATTAAAAAAACTAACATGTGTAAGATGAAAATATTCTAAAAGGAATTACAGTATTCCCTTAAAGTTCGTGTTTCTAAAGCTTGCATCCTTCAGAAACTCACAGATTCCCATGAAAAATAAATAAAATAAATCTGAGGCTGTGTGCCAGGGATCAAGAGGAGTCAACACTACAGGACAGTACAGAGTACCATATTTCCAAGGTCATAAGATGCACCCTATAATTAATAAGGTAAAGTTGGGAAGAAATTGCAGATTTAATAGCCTACTGTACTGGTAAAACCAAATCACTGGCTTTATGCTATCATGTTTTTCACTACCACAACTACCTATCACTGTGTGGACCTAATGTTCAAACAGTGTTATATCATGTTTATTTATTTATGTTATTTCATATTTATTATAATGTTTTAAGCATACATAATGTGGTTATACACGTGCATATAGCTATTCATATATGTATTTTGCACACATCTAGGACTGGCATGAAAAACTCACAGATTTTGCTTTCTCAAGGGGGTCCATTTTACCTAACCCCAGTGATCATTAAGGGAATACTGTTCAAAGTTTTAATTACAGTTAATAAGAGTTTATGTCATAGTTTGAGAAAATATGTAAAGCAGGGACATCACCATCTGTCTCTCATATTTACTCACTGGTTTTGTTATTTCACCAGTTTCATCTTGACTAAACTTACTTTAGGGACTGTCTTCCCAGTCAGATCATTGTGAAGTTGTTCCCTTTCATTCTCTCTCACTTCAGCGGACAGAAGAATATTACTGATGTAAGAGTCAGTAAGACATTGGGGCCACCGACCCACTAAGCCAGACGACACACACCCTCTCTCTACAGCTTCAAAACCCTCACTCAACATGTTATTGGCTAAATGTTACTATCTGCTAACTCTATAGGTTGTCCGTGAAATGATTGACACAAACATATTGGACTGAAACAAAGTGTGAATGCTTTTAAATGTACAAGAATGTGACCTCAGCTGGAGGCACAGTAACTCTTAATGCTAACACACAGGGAGGGAACAGCAGACAAAACTGTGTCACAACTCCCTGAGGTAACCAAACACTACCTACCTACCAGATACCAATAAATGAGACAGCTGGTATGAAGGTACCCTGAACAAGAAGGCTAGAGAGTCTTCACCACCATGTAAGCACATCAATCCTCTATTGCTTGGCTGAATAAGATAACCAGGACAGCTGGACCAACATCAGTTTCCAGAACACTCAGGTGCCACAAAGGGAGGAGAGGGACCTGAGTCACCCTTTACTGTACTGGCAGTAACAGGAAGACCTACTCTCCCTGTCTCACCCTTGTGATTCATCTTATAGTTGAGACTCAATATCACTTTATTATGGTTAGTTTCCCTTAACTTATTGAGTCTAATGACCACACTAATATTAATATACTACAGGGAATGTCATCATATTCAAAGGGTTAAAATATAGTACTCTAGGGATTAAAGAATTATTCTAAAAAGCGTTGATAATTGTACACAAAATGCAAAGTCAAGTAATCTACAGCTCTTCTTATGAAATGGTTACTTGAATAATATTACAGATGTTATCCCTCAACACCATAATTACACACATGACTAAATTCTCACCTTTTTCTGCACAAGTTGTTAGTCAGTGGGTTATATCAGCCTGGGGTAGTCTGTAGCAGGTTATATCAGCCTGGGGAAGTCCCTGACAGGTTATATCAGCCTGGGATAGTCTATGGTAGGTTATATCAGCCAGGGGTAGTCTCTGGCAGGTTATATCAGCCTGGGGTAGTCTCTGGCAGGTTATATCAGCCTGGGGTAGTCTCTGGCAGGTTATATCAGCCTGGGGTAGTCTCTGGCTGGTTATATCAGCCTGGGGTAGTCTCGGGCAGGTTATATCAGCCTGAGGTAACAATAATATACATATATTAATATATATGGGATAAACAACTCTCAACAGTAGATGTTAATGTAAAACAAAAGTGTGATGTTATACTGTCATCAGCTTTGTGTTGTCTACTGTTGTGAGTTGTGTTGTGTAGCATCACACACAATGGGACAACTTAACACAACACAACATTTTACTTTACTTACTGTAAATTAATTTACAGTGTCCAGTTGTTTAGTTAATATAGTTAAACATATTTGGGATCACCTGAAGATTGGTCCCAGCTTATTTCACCTTAAGATTAACCACAGTAATGCTATCCTAACTTAACTTACTTAACCATACTTAACCTAATCTAACATGACTTAACCTAATCTAACATGACTTAACCTAATCTAACATGACTTAACCTAATCTAACATGACTTAACCTTACCTAACACGACCAACACAATATTGTATGGTAAAGGTGAAGGAGATGGTTAGCACCAGAAATAACTTATGGAATTGAACCAAAAATTCCTGGAGATATTATTTCCAGAGACACTATTTTCATGATACTGAACACGAAAATGGAAATGAGAAACCACAGACCCTAAGAGAACCTAATCTAACCAAAGAAACCTTAACCATCCTTAACTAACTTTCTACTTAATATGGCAGCAGGTCCGCCCCTTGGCTAGGATGTTAAGTAAGGTTAGGTCAGGTTCTGTTAGATTCTGTGCATTCTCGTTTCCATTTTCATGTTCAGTCTCATGAAAAGAATATTTCCATAATTTTTGGTTCAATTCCAGTTAGTGTTTGAAGCCGCATAGCGTAAATTCTTGTTACACACAAATAAAGTCCATGTTCACAGATGAACTCTTGTAGAAGGTCTTCATCCTCCACAAGGATAATTATCTTGTAATAAGACAATGAGCATCTGTCACAAGACGCCCTAACTATGGCTTGCTTGTCTCCTCTTGTGGTCGAACAATAAGTATAGGAACACACAGTTCACTTATTATCCAATGCTACTTGTAAGGTGCTGTAATGAATCAAATGGTATAATATGTGAATGGATTCCAACAATATGATCCTCATAACATATAAATAGAGTTGGTTTAAGATCCTATTGTGCGGGAAATACAAAATGTATAGGATCAGCGCAGGTCATAGACTCCTGACTCTAGATAGTGAAGTCCGCTACCAAAAACAAAAACAATTAAACCTATTATATAAGGTAGATAAAGCCTGGATACGATTCACTGTCATTTGTTAACAATTTAAGTGAGAACAGAATCAGAACTTAACTGTTTACAATTGGACAACAACACGCGTCAACAAGACTGGACTGCCGGAGGAATATCTAAGGCAAATATTAAATTTCTTCAAATACAAAACATGTACAGACATCCATTAACTGTCATATGATCAGTTTTTCATCGTGTTTTATCACATAATTTCCCTCATCCTTCATGTCATGCTAACCTTCTCGTCCACCTTTACCCATAATATAATGTAATCAAACCTAACCTAACCCTAGCAGCTACCTGATAATATTTCACCTTAAAATATAAAGTTTTCTTACCTCGAGAAACATAATGTATGAGTAATGTGTTTTGTGTCACTTCACTTTTATAATTGTTAATGTCTTTATCGTTAACAATGGTTTGTTTGGTGTAGTGTTTTAACGCCACATTGTCCCTCATCTTTAAAGCCCTGTTACTAGTGTTAAAGTGGTCATATCTCCATAAATATCAACCTACCACTCAAATAAAGGTCATATTCCTTTATAACAAGATAAAAAACACATTAGTTAAATCTATTTTAGTAATCAATTTCCCGTTATGGCATAAAATGAATCTTTATCATTCCACATAGCAGGAAAGGTCATAATACAGTATTAAGGTAAACAAGGTCATATAACACACCTGCACTCTTAATAACTCACCAAACACTTGCTGTAATGTCCAGGAGGAGGAGAAATAAACTGTTTTACGAGAAAATTGACGGAAGTATACAAGATGGTGAAGCGTGTTGTTGTTGTTGTCAAGGAATATCCAATAAGGAAGAACAACTCTCCACTATTAGTCACCACAGGTTGACCCGTAGTGCCGCCTGGTGACTGAATGACTAACTTACCAAAGAAAACATATACAAATGAGGGTAAACTATTATTATTTATTGACCCTCATAGAAGAGGTCCTCATGAACATTATACAAAACGTACGGTATAAAATACTTTACTTGAACTAAATTTTCTGTATAAACCATTATTAAAGAAGATATTGACAGGTGCTTTATGAAACTTACATTATAAGTAATGTAGTAGGCAATAGGCAGCTATCAAATAGGGAGGTACTGTACTACTGTCTGGGAAGATATTGGAAGCATAATGTGTTGTCTAATGGTAGACCCTGCTGCCATAGGTGACCACGTCCCAGGTTGATGATCTGACTTCCTGCCTCATTTACACACAATTGCAGGGTCTTGTTTCTCGCACTTTGAAAACACAACATACATATATTGCTTCTCACTATTGATTTTTTTTGTGGGCTTATCCCTGTGAAAAAATGGTAATTAAATGGATATATTTAATATTTTACATTATATTATCATGAATATGGCTACTTAGGTGCCCCTTAATCCACCCCACATAAATATGGGAGAGGTTTCTGTACCCCATAATCCACCCCACATAAATATGGGAGAGGTTTCTGTACCCCATAATCCACCCACATAAATATGGGAGAGGTTTCTGTACCCCATAATCCACCCCACATAAATATGGGAGAGGTTTCTGTACCCCATAATCCACCCCACATAAATATGGGAGAGGTTTCTGTACCCCATAATCCACCCCACATAAATGTGGGAGAGGTTTCTGTACCCCATAATCCACCCCACATAAATATGGGATTGGTTTTTGTACCCCATAATCCACCCCACATAAATATAGGAGAGGTTTCTGTACCCCTTAATCCACCCCAAATAAATATGGGAGAGGTTTCTGTACCCCTTAATCCACCCCACATAAATATGGGAGAGGTTTCTGTACCCCTTAATCCACCCCAAATAAATATGGGAGACGTTTCTGTACCCCTTAATCCACCCCACATAAATATGGGAGAGGTTTCTGTACCCCTTAATCCACCCAACATAAATATGGGAGAGGTTTCTGTACCCCTTAATCCACCCCAAATAAATATGGGAGAGGTTTCTGTACCCCTTAATCCACCCCACATAAATATGGGAGAGGTTTCTATACCCCTATTAATCCACCCCCACATATATATGGGGAGAGGCTCTTTATACCCCATAATCCACCCCCACACATATATGGGAGAGGTTTCTATACCCCATAATCCACCCCACATATATATGGTGAGCTTGCACCCCCATAATCCAGCCCACATAAATATGGGAGAGAGGCTCTGTACCCCCTTAATCCACCCCACATAAATATGGGAGAGGTTTCTGTACCCCATAATCCACCCCACATAAATATGGGAGAGGTTTCTGTACCCCATAATCCACCCGACATAAATATGGGAGAGTCTTCTGTACCCGATAATCCACCCCCCATAAATATGGGAGAGGTTTCTGTGCCCCTTAATCCACCCCCCATAAATATGGGAGAGGTTTCTGTACCCCTTTATCCACCTGCCATAAATATGGGAGAGGTTTTTGTACCCCATAATCCACCCCACATAAATATGGGAGAGGTTTCTGTACCCCATAATCCACCCCCCATAAATATGGGAAAGGTTTCTGTACCCCATAATCCAACCCCCATAGTAATATGGGAGAGGTTTCTGTACCCCATAATCCACCCCCATAAATATGGGAGAGGTTTCTGTACCCCATAATCCACCCCACATAAATATGGGAGAGGTTTCTGTACCCTATAATCCACCCGACATAAATATGGGAGAGGTTTCTGTACCCCATAATCCACCCCACCCCATAAATGTGGGAGGGAGAGGTTTCTGTACCCCATAATCCACCCGACATAAATATGGGAGAGGTTTCTGTACCCCATAATCCACCCCACATAAATATGGGAGAGGTTTCTGTACCCCATAATCCACCCGACATAAATATGGGAGAGGTTTCTGTACCCCATAATCCACCCCACATAAATATATGGGAGAGGTTTCTGTACCCCATAATCCACCCCACATAAATATGGGAGAGGTTTCTGTACCCCATAATCCACCCCACATAAATATGGGAGAGGATTCTGTACCCCTTAATCCACCCCAAATAAATATGGGAGAGGTTTCTGTACCCCTTAATCCACCCCAAATAAATATGGGAGAGGTTTCTGTACCCCTTAATCCACCCCACATAAATATGGGAGAGGTTTCTCTACCCCTTAATCCACCCAACATAAATATGTTAGATAAATAAAGATGACAGACAGATAAATATTACTCTCATACATATAAGTCAATCTTAATGGAACTATTTTTCATCCTAATATTTTCATGTGAATAATAAAACATAAAATTATCACAAACATTTTATTAACAATATTGTTATCAAAATTACATCAACCTTTGAACAGTGGATTAGGCGACCTTTGGGTAAGACGAGGTCCACATTACAGTCTATGTTAACATAAGAACATAAGAAAATACGGAGTCTGCAATAGGCCGGTTGGCCTGTGCATGGCAGCTCCTGTCGAGAGTTACTACCACTCTCTATCATCCATGAATCTATCCAGCCTCCTTTTGAAACTTTCCAGCATTCCAGGACTTACTACAAAGTTGCTAAGCTTGTTCCACTCGTCCACCACCCTATTTGTGAACCAGTTCCTTCCCATCTCCCGACTAAACCTAAACTTATCCAACTTAAATCAGTTGCTCCGAGTCCTATCCTGCTCGGATATTATAAGAACTTTATCTATATCCCCTTTATTGATTCCTTTCACCCACTTAAATACTTCTATCATATCTCCCCGCACTCTTCGTTTTTCTAGGGTATGCAAGTTCAGTTTCTTTACCCTATCCTGATATGGAAGGTTTCTAAGTCCCGGAATCATTTTCGTCATTCTTTGCTGCACCGACTCTAGTGAATTGATATCCATTCAATAATAAGGGCACCAGAACTGAACCGCATAATCGAGGTGCGGCCTGACTAGCGCAAGATATAGTTGCATTACGACCAATGCACTCTTATTACTTACACTTCTAGATATAAAATCCAATATACTCTGTTTGCCTTATTTCGAACATTAACGCACTGTTTTCTAGGCCGTAGGTCCGGGCTTACAAGTACCCCTAAGTGTCTTTCACAAGTTGACTTCTCTAGGTTGATGTTGTTAAGGCTGTATACATTGACAGTTCCATGGTTTTAACTCATATCTGTGGTATAAGACAACTCCCCAAACTACTAAACCACCTGTGGTAAAGTTTAAGTCAATTTGACCACCAATATGGTGATATGTTTAACATATTAAATACTTTGAATGGACGTTTGCCTGAACAAGCCATTTAAAGATCATGTGTGTGAAGACTGGAATATTTGGATGATGGATGGTGAAAAATCCTTTCCAAAAAGTGAGGCTACACGCGCTGCATCACTTGATGTGCTGTCTGATCAAAACAAGGAATAAAGTGAAAATAGAGACTGTAATAAAACCTTTCAAAAGGTGAGGTATCTCTAATGTAATGGATGGTATGGAGGCAATATCTTATAATTCTTCCATAGTGAGCAGCCAAGTAGTGTATATATTTGATCATTTAATGTTTTTATTAAAGGTAATATTACATATATTATGTGTAGACCACCACAAGATAATGACCCACAAGCCTTGCCTGGCCACAACACTGAACCTGTGTCTTATGGGTTTGTAGTTGACAGCACTAACAAGTAACCCATGAGGCCTACTACAGTTGTCAGTGCATGTCAAGTGTTCACGGGGACCAGTGCTGGAAGACAAAGGATAGCCACCAACTCCTGCTTTCTATACTTGGTACAATTATTATTTACAAGGTAGATTCACAGGATAGATCCACACAGACCTGTGCTCAACTGAGTTGTGTGAAGCAGCGAGACACACAGGTCTGGTCTACAGTGAGTCCTCCCGGTTCTCTCTACCTTCATACCCTCCTCAACTCTCCCACCAAGCATTGTGGGTAATAACATCACAGTTACATTAATTCACAAATTATTAATGAGACAATTACAACAAGTTACAATAAAAGACAATTAAGTAGATAACTCAAACTACTTCAATCAACATTAACATATAAGTTAATAATTGGAGTAACATCACAAGACCCCAAGTTTGGAACACCTTGTACAAGAAGCCAACTTCACACCCAACCACCATTATGTATTATATACAACAACTCACTATATACAACAAATTACACAGATTAGCATAACATGAATGTATGTTATACATTACCATAAGAACATACATTATATATTACACAGAGCCCTTGGGATGTACCTAGTAGCATCTGACAGTGCGAAAAGGATTACAGTTGGTAATGTACAGTACATGTTAGTACATCACAGTTGGTACGTACAGTACATGTTAGTACATCACAGTTGGTAATGTACAGTACATGTTAGTACATCACAGTTGGTAATGCATTGTGTCTATGTTAGCACATTACAGTTGGCAATGTACAGTACATGCTGAAGTATTGATCACAGTTGGTAATGTACAGTACATGTTAGTACATCACAGTTGGTAATGTACAGTACATGTTAGTACATCACAGTTGGTAATGTACAGTACATGCTAGTACATCACAGTTGGTAATGTACAGTACATGTTAGTACATTACAGTTGGTAATGTACAGTACATGTTAGTACATCACAGTTGGTAATGTACAGTACATGCTAGTACATCACAGTTGGTAATGTACAGTACATGTTAGTACATCACAGTTGGTAATGTACAGTACATGTTAGTACATCACAGTTGGTAATGTACAGTACATGTTAGTACATCACAGTTGGTAATGTACAGTACATGCTAGTACATCACAATTGGTAATGTACAGTACATGTTAGTACATCACAGTTGGTAATGTACAGTACATGTTAG